AATAATAACTTTATTTTTGTACCCCACTACCATCTCCCAGGAGGGACTCGGTGCAGCATACATATGGGTCAAAATGCCCACAAAACATAAAAGTAAAGCAATTAATTTCAACAAAACACAATTTAAAATAAGAGCATAGTAAAATATAACACTCCAGATAAAAACACAATTAAATAAAACATATAAGAATATAAAACAGCAACAATGCTCAACAAAACCAATAAACCAGTAATGGAATAGACATGACCAGGCAATAAAAAGGGCCGGGCATGGGATAGTGTGAAACAGCATACCATAAGGCGGGAGTATTGGATGAAGTGCAGAGAACGAAATATTATCAGGCCACTTAGGGACTGGGCATTTATAACTAGGGACTAGCTGTTTTCAAATGCTAGCTGGAACATCCAGGTTTTCAAATCCCTGTGAAAGAAGGACAGTGTGGGGTTTTGCCTAATCTCTCTAGGGAGGGAAGTTCCAAAGTCAGGGAGCCACCATTGAGAAGGCCCTCTCCTTTGTCCCCACCAACCATGCGTGTGACAGTGGTGGGTGCGAGAAGAGGCCCTCCTCAGAAGATCTTAGAGCCCATGCTGGTTTGTAGGGGAAGATGCGATCATGAAGATAGGCAGGAGCCAATCTGTTTAGGGCTTTGTAAGTCATAACTTGCATCTTGAATTGGGACCGGAAATTTATCGGCAACCAGCGGAGCTGCTTTAATAGGCGCATTGTGCGACTAAATATACACATGTTGAATTACCTTTTTGTTACAGGCTTGGGCTTAGAGCTGGTGTACATCCACCTGGGAGAAAGACCGACTGAACTCAATGGGGTTTAATCCCTGAATAGACACATATAGGTTTGCACTACTATGGGATAAATTCTTTTTGAAAGTAGTAGCATTCTACAATGGAGCACTCTTGACATTTTGTAAGCCTTTCTGGGTTTCTGCTAGTTTCTTCTCACCTGAATTCAGCTTAAAAAATACAAAACAAAACATGCTTCCCTTCCATTAGAGAGCTGAACTCACAGAATCATAGGATCATAAAATAATAGCATTTGAAGACACCACATGGGCCATCTAGTCCAACCCCCTGCCATACAGGAAAAGCACAAAGTATCCCTGACAGATGGCCATTCAGCCTCTGTTTAAAAGTTTCAAAGGAAGGAGCTTCAACCACACTCTGAGGCATTGAGTTCCACTGTTGAACAGTTTGTATGGTCAGGAACGTCTTCCTAATGTTCAAGTGGAATCTCCTTTCCTGTCATTTCAACCCATTGCTCCTAGTCCTAGTTTCAAGGGCAGCAGAAAACAAGTCTGCTCCCTCTTCCTTATGACACCCTTTCACATATTAACTGCAGTTATTTATTTTAAATTAAAATAGCTGGTGTTCTCTACTGTAGTTACAGATGCCTAACCTAGAGCTATGGATCCATTACTGCTCCATATGCAAGAAGACTAGCTAGTCACAATTTTGACACTGTTGTCATGCTTGTAAATGTCTCCCCCAGCCCACCTTCACAAGCAGCACCTGCATTTAGGAAGGGGATCAGAATGAAAGGGGAAAATGTTTCTACCCTTCCCACAAGTGAGCAAGGAGGGCGGCAATCAGAAGCAGGAGCTCAGCACAACTGCTCACTACACACTCGTTTGCTGGAAAGAGAGGGTAGAAGCACTATCTTTTGGTGTCCCAATCATGGGCTGAATAGACCTCCATATCTCTTACTGTCTGGTAAAATAGGTTTGGGGGAGGGGGTTGGGCTAGGAGGTGTTAGTTACACATTTGGCACAGAATATTGGATAATGTTTGTAAATATAAAATACTTTGCAAGGTCGTTTTGAAGTTAATCCAACAGTCACAGCATTAGTAAATGAAGCAGCAATGTGCCATAATAACACAATATCTAATAAAAATTTTCTGCTCTCTGATGTGGTTAAACAATAATGCACCCCCACATTCAGCTTCATAACTGTATGAGTAAACTGGCCTTTAACATCAGACTCAAATTTACAAAACAAATACAAGTCATGGAAAAACAGCCTCTTACGGCTGTAAATTTATGACTAACAGGCTCCCCTGCCCAGTGCATTGTTTCTGCCCAAAATCAGCAGTGACTACAGAAAAAAGTAGGCAGCTATCAACATGATTCCTGCTACCCCTGAAATACAGTGGTGGGTCTTTATGGGTCAGGACAGTGCCAGGGTATTGTCCCATTCTGCAGACTGATAGGGGAGAACATCCTTCCTGGAAAGGAGGAGGTTGTGTGTGAATATGTCATGGAGGAAACCCCCTTTTGTGCAAAAGTTTGGTCTGAGTTATAAACTATAGAACCAACACAACACAAAAACTGATTTTATCTGCCTCAACCAAGCAGCACAGGTAATTGCTGTGTTGGTTGAAAATTAGAATTGTTCCTGTGCAAATGCTGTACTTCTTAAAAGAGTGTAAGAAAACAAAAGCCTATACACTCCTGCTCAAGAAACAACAGCAAAACTAGAGTGGACCCTTGGTATTGGCAAAGTTTGATTTCAGGACACCTGTGGATACCTAAAGCCATGGATGCTCAAGTTCTATTATAAACAAAAGTGTAGTAAAAAAGCGTTCCTTATATAAAATAGCAAAACCAAGGTTTGATTATTTGAATTTTTGAATGATTGAATCCATGGATGCAGAATCCTAGGACATGGAGAGCCAACACTAAGCTACTTTATGGAGACTTTTTGCCATGAAAAGCAAGCTATACATTCCTAACAAAAGGAATATATACTAAAATCAGACTAAACAACGGGGTGGTTCTGAATCAAATTGTAACAAATGCTTTTGTAATTAACCCATAAAGAAGAAACTTCTCAAAGCTGCTATTTTGATAGTAGCTATCATTGAGAAGATCTGCCCTTTCTTCTTCTTAAAACAACCCTAGCAACTCTGGAAATGTTGAAGGAGTGCTGCACATAGACAGTAGGCTTTAGGTTAGTGAACAAGGGTCACAGAGAACTCAATGATCATCTTGAATCAGCACAGCAGATTTGTACAATATACAGGTAAACGTATTTGACTCTGGAGCTTGCAGGGTTTTTTTAAAATTCATAATTACTGCTCACTGACACACTCTACTCCAATTAGAATATTTTAAGTTTGGAAAGAAGTAACAGGTTTTTGTAAGGGCAATATTCCTAGAGGGCTAGAGAGACAGGTAGCAGAAGGCAGGAAGCGTGAGGAAATGAAAGAGGCCAAATAACACACATATGCTTCAAGCCCCAACCGCTGCCAGTACTGGCAAATACCTCTTCATTTCGGAGCCTTCTGGCAGCTACTTTTAAATAAGGGAAATTTCTCACCTTACAATTTCATACATACAGATGGATTCTTGTCCAATGTGGGATCATCTCAGTACTTGTAAACATTTATGTGTTTTGGACAGCAGCGCCCAGAAGTGGTCAGGCTGGCTGGAGGGATTTTAGGAGTAAAAGTTCCCAAGCTCAGGATCCTCCAGCACCAGTGATCTCTTCTGAACTGATGTGAAGGTTATGAAATGGGAATTTTGCAGACCCGTGTTTATCCCTCCCCCACAAGACTTTTGTGCCACTATTCTCACTTTACAAAATACAGCTGGTACTCCACATTTGGAAGTTATTAAGTGGTGGGTGGAAGATGCTACAGTGAATCTGCTTTGAGACATTTAAAACTATCAGGTACTAGACCACGCATGGGCAAAATTCAGCCCTCCAGGTGTTTTAGACTTCAACCTCCCACAAATTCCTAACAGGCTGTTAGGAATTGTGGGAGATGAAGTCCAAAACACCCAGAAGGCCGAAGTTTGCCCTTGCCTGTACTAGCCTAAGTGCTTATTTTCAACCGGAGAAATTTGCAAACATTTATTTCAATTCTTTTCAAGTAAAGTGTAACTACCTGTAACCAAAAGAACCCCAATCACTCTGTCTTGAACCAGCCATTCTGGGCTTCAAGACTACTTTTCTTGATAAAGAAGAATCCACTGAATTTAGAAGAAGACCTGTTGAGTACCTTGTTTTATTTGATACTTTATTTGAAGCATGATCCTTCCCTCTGTAATCAGACCAGGGGAATAACTGAAACACCTTCCAAATTCTTTCGTTAGTAGCATATTAATGTGTCCAGCTTTGTAGGAACCAAAACCAACTCTGGGTGTATTTTTATTACTAGATTTATACAGATGTTATTCTATAAAACAGTATTTCTATGATATTGCCATTTACATAGTGGTCTGCTATGTCTCCATTTCTCACCTGGTTACCATTTCTAAGTTTTCTTTATGTAAAAAAAACAAAAAAACAAAACATACACACTACAAGGGAGAAAGATTTCCTAAAAATGCTTCATTTTTGCGAGTGGGGTACTTTTCTGTTCCAAATAATGTAAATGTTAGGGTAAAAAGGCCCCCCTTTAAAAAAAAGAAACAAAAACCAATCCAGGGAAGCAGAATCAAATGTTTGTTATATGATACTACATACACAAAGTTTTGTTTTTGTTCAAGGTCAGAGCTTGGAAAGGGACCTTTTTTGGGTCGCATATCCCAGAGCTGCCTATGCTGAGAATCTGGTAGGTATGTTTTCCAAGGTTTGCCAGTGAAATTGCGCTTGGAGTTTGCAGAACATATATTTTTCTTTTTTCTTTTTTAAAAAGTACTGGATAAGGGATTATGTTCACAGAGTCCTCTGAACCGCTTCCCCCCTTCCTTCCTACTTGACACCTCCTTGACCTGGATTGGCAAGTTCCTTTGCTCTTCCTCATGTCACCGGGCAGACCACGGGAAGCTTGATGACATATAATATCCTACCTTCTCTCTCAGGAATAACGCTCACTCTCAGAGTCACGACATGTGTGGGACTTTTAAGATTTATCTTTTTAAGATCTTTAGGATTTATCTTTTTCGGAACCTTTAGCTGCCCAACTAGAGTCTGTCTCTTTGCTGTCATCTTAGAAGGCTTTCTATGAATGTGTCAGAAGGATGATGGCATACTGTACCTCCTCTGGCAGGCTGACGACCAGGTCATTTTCCGTCTGCCCCACCAACACCTGCAAGAAGTATTCACTGCACGCAGCCAGCACAGCCCGGTGGGCTCGGTACTCTTTCCCCTCCACAATCAAAGTCACATCACAGAGAATATCCTGCTTCCGTTGGTCATTGAGGCACAGGAGGATATTGGTACAATGGACTGTTGACTCATACACATACATGGGGGATTCAGTCTTCTCATCCACAGACATTCCGTTCACACCCTAAAATAGAAACAACAAACAATAAGGGAGAGATGTAAGGACCGGAGCAAAGTTATCATGCAGCTAGCAAAGAAAGGAAGATTACATCATGATTTCTCTGTCCTGCATGGTTTAGCCAGCTCTGCAAAAACTGCCGATCAGCATTTTAATTCTTAGCTGGAACAAAGAGCTCAAGAAATCTCTCTATCTTTCTCTTCCTCTGTAAGCACTATGAGCTTTTACTCTAGCCACTTAGTTGGCTCCCTCTTTCCATACAATATTGAATGAGAGATGTGGCACATGTTCTTTGGAAAAAAAAGCATTGAAGGCCATACATCAACACTGTTTTAATAAATATAAGATTACCTGGAAGGTTGTGGTGGGTGAAAAGGAGATCCAATAAAAACATCTGAGAATGTATTTTTACAGAAGCAGGCTATTTAACTCATAGTCTATGTCTTTTAGAATTACGGCACCAAAGTAGAGCTTATGCACACTATTTAGAATAAGCAGTATGACACAACAACCCATGGAAATCTACTTTTGAAATTCGTATTATAGCACACAGAACATTTGTCAATGTAACAAGTGTAACAAATGTAGGACCGGGCTGTGGCGCTGCTAGTTAGTAGCCAGCTGCATTAAATTGCTACTGACCAAGAGGTCATTCGTTCAAAGCCAGCCTGGATCGGAGTTAGCTCCTGACCAATAGTCTAGCTTGCTGTTGACCTTTGCAGCCTGAAAGAGAGTTGCATCTGTCAAGTAGGAAATTTAGGTACTGCTTTATGCAGGGAGGCTAATTTAACTAATTTACAACACCATAAAAACCTTCCAGCAGCATGCATAAGAATGAGGAAGTACTCCATCAAGGACTCAGTGTCACAAGTGGACGATGAAGCGGCAGCTCCTCCTGTGGCCAGAATCGAGCATACCCTCATGAAACGAGAAAGCTGGAATGTTAAATTGCCTCTGTGTCTGTCTATATATGTTGTATGTCGAATGGTACTGAATGTTTGTGATGTATATGCGCATTCTAATCCGCCCTGAGTCCCCTGTGGGAGAAGGGCAGAATATAATTACTCTAAATAAATAAATAAGTAACAAGACTGGGACAGTGGATCTGTGAGATAAGGGCTTGTGTGTTTAGAAAATTAACATCTCAACAGTGTAACAGAAGCATAGTGAAATGATTTAAATCAGGGGTCCTCAAACTTTTTAAACAGAGGGCCAGGTCACAGTCTCTCAAACTGTTGGAGGGCTGGATTATAATTTGAAAAAAAAACACACAAATGAATTCCTATGCACACTGCACATATCTTATTTGTAGTGCAAAAAAACACTTAAAACAATGCAATAATTAAAACGAAGAACAATTTTAACAAATACTGTATAAACTTATTAGTATTTCAATGGGAAGTATGGGCCTGCTTTTGGCTGATGAGATAGGATTATTGTTGTGGTCTTGTGTGCTTTCAAGTTGTTTCAGACTTAGGTTGACCCTGAGCGAGGGCCAGGTAAATGATCTTGGAGGGCCGTATCCGGCCCTCGGGCCTTAGTTTGAGGACCCTTGGTTTAAATGTTGATCAAGCTGCATATGGGAGATAAATGACAGTAAATCATCTAAATTTGGGACAAATATATATAAGATAAATAACAGGAAATCTTTTCAATATACAGTTCAGATTTGTTCATGCTTTCATGCCATACAAAATCACATACAGATGCAAAATATATAATTCAGGAAAGGCAATAAAAGTGATTAGTAAATTGGCAAGATAAGGAGGGCTTGCCAGAAAGGATGCCGTTGTAAGGAGGACATAAATAAAAGGTGACATCATTCTATACCACTAATGAAAGGCAAAAGAGATTAAATGAATGCCCTCATTTCAAAGAATGAAAGAGTATATTCCCCCTCCCCATACCTATAAAGGAGATTTCGTCTGAGAGACTGGGCACAGCTAAGGATTCATAAATTTAGTTGCCACAGCAACTGTCCCCCTACCACACCACGTCATCATCCCCCCAATTTCACATTAGTCTTCAGAAAAAAACACCGTGAGAAGTCACAGATGAGATACTACTGCTTTCACAGAACCCAGAAAAGTTACTTTTAAAAAAAATTATAGCTTCTGCTGTGCACCTGCTAGCATTCCCATGCTGGTTGGAGGGTTGTGGGAGTCATAGTCCCTAAAATAACACGTTCAGATTCTGGTCTTATTTACTTAATGGTCTTATTTACTTAAAACATTTTTACCCCGTTCTTTGGCTCAAAGGACTCCCTGAGTAGCTTACAGATATCAGTAGCAGGTCTTTGCCCTCAGGCAACTAGTCCAAAAGTCATGATAGACCAGAAAGGGAAAGACAGAGAAAAGTGTAGAAATCAGTTCTTTGAACTCATAATTCCAATTGTGACCAACTATGGTGGGAACAGTTAATGTTGTTGTTGTTGTTCGTTTGTTCAGTCGTTTCTGACTCTTTGTGACCTCATGGACCAGCCCACGCCAGAGCTCCTTGTCGGTCGTCACCACCCCAGCTCCTTCAAGGTCAATCCAGTCACTTCAAGGATATCATCCATCCATCTTGCCCTTGGTTGGCCCCGCTTCCTTTTTCCTTCCATTTTCCCCAGCATAATTGTTTTATCTAAGCTCTAAGCTTTTCTTTCTTCTCATGATGTGGCCAAAGTACTTCATGCAGTTAATGTAGATTGACATAATGGCTGCTGGTTCAGTAATACTCGAAGAAAGCCAGCAACAGCTGCTCTTGATGGAACTGCCATGCTGTCTCCTCTCCTTCTGCTATGGAGAGGAACTGTAACTCTACATGAGCCTGTCCTCATCTTGAACTCCCATTATCTCTAACCGATGATCATACAGGTATTGGCTGAGGATGGTCATAGTCCAGAACATCTGGAGGATTCTGGTTGGGAAAACAAGTGTCTTATGTAATGGGTTAGGAGTGTTCAAAGTACACTTACAATCAAAGATCTCTCTTCTTGTCAGAAACGTAGGTGTAGCATATCTCTATAGCTCAGACCATCCTGAGAGGTTCTGAAATGCCATCAAGGAGCAGTTATTTTTCCTGAGTTCTGTGGGCATGAGAGGCATCTTGGGAAGGGGCCAGGTGGGTCAATAAACCACTGATATGGGGCAGCTAATTGTCCATTCTTAATTTTTCCATGGGACATTTTGATTTCCAAACAACAGTGACAACAACATGAAGAACTATTATATAACAACAAAAGTCACTACAGGTTGGGTATCCCTTATTTGAAATACTCCAAAATTGCCAACATGGGTGGCTGTGATAGTGACACCTTTGTTTCCTATTGGACCCACATATACTTTGCTTTGTGCACAAAATTATTAAAACTACTTTATATAAAATTACATTTTGGCTATATATATGTGTGTGTGTGTGTGTGTGTGTGTGTGAAACTTATATAAATTTTGTGTTTAAACATGGGTCCCTTCTCCAAGATGTCTGCAAGTATTTGAAAAATCCCCCTCCTCCCCAAATAATCTTAAATATAGAGCACTTTAGGCCCCAAAATTTCTGGCAAGACATAACCAACCTATAGTAACAGCAAATATGAATAAAAAAACAAATGAACAATCAGACTACAATGTTCGTGCAGAGCAACTTAATTACAAAATTTACAAAGGGAATTATGATTATGATAGTTTCAGGAGGTAAATCTTTCATGTCTGAAGTACTGCTAGAAATTTTAATGTAAGATATAAACTGGGTCAAACTCATCTGTATAACTATGGTAACAAGAATACTAGTCGTAACACCAATAATACAAGTATCTATGAGCATATACCCTAGCTAATTCTCCATACACTACTCAAACATCATTTCCCAGTGGGATGTTTTCCTCTGAAGTTCCTGTTTGCTGTGCAGGAGACAGGATTGTTGAACTGTGCTGGAATTCATTAAGAGCTTAGCGAGGCTGAGAGTAAACCACTTTTTTAAAAAAACTGGAAAAAACCCACTTTCTTCTGAAACAAAAGTAATTGTGAAGCTAACATTTATTTAGGCTTTAAAATTTTTAAAAAACCCAAATTGATTACTAATTACAACATCCAAAAACATGAGCATAAAGATAGAAATCGTGAAATGTAATTGTACGTTATTATTATGATTCTTTAGTTGTTGCAAGTATGATACAAGACTGATCTAGATTAATAATTAATTCAGCAATAACGTATCAGGAAAAGATAATTATACAGTACAACAGTTCTCACGCTGATTTCTGTAATTATAGATTACAACAGTATTAGCAATTTTTAAAAGGTTGGGGAGCAGCCATAATTTGCCATGTCATCTTCGGCTGCATTAATATATCTTTCTTGGAGCACCAGGGATAATTGGAAATACAATAGTGGGTCAAGGAGGACTGTGAGGTCTCGCTTTTATGCCCACTAACAAATGTGTTGTGCATCAGTACAACTGCACCCACCAGCCACAGACAAAAAGTGAGCTATCGATAAGGCTAGGTGTAATGAAATAATGACTCCAAAGCTTAACGAACTAATTGCTGCTGATTTTAACAGGGCAGATTCAAGTGCATGCCTCCCTTTTCACTGAAATCAATGGGAGACAGAAGCAGCAGCTTGAAAACCACGGTGGAAGGAGAGAGAAAAGCAGGTGAGCATTTGCTGAACAGCAAACACACAAAGGGATGTAATGAGACATAAAGGAAAGTGGTACCAAGGTTGAAGAGCATCTGAAACAAGGCCAAGATGCTTGACTCTGATGCAAAGCCGCTGGCAAAATGAACACTCATGCCACATTTTCAGTGTGCAGAATACTAGAGCCATCCGCCCTGCTTTACAAAAGGTGTATAAATTAACCATTACTGTTAAAAGGAAAAGCCGGGTTGTGTCATGGGATGAGCTTGGGTATTCCAAGGGGAACAAAATGTTTTTTTAAGGTTTACAAGAGTATTTTTAAAAAGCTATACAAGGTTATTCTGATTTCCTCACCTCCAAGGCTGAATATATAACATGTTGATGAGA